GGCCGTTGCTTGATTTGTCTGCAGGGACAGACTCTGGCGCTGCCAAGAAGCCTCATGCAAGTCTATCACCTCAACTCAGGCAAAGCAGGGTGAGAAAAGCTCACTTTTCTGCCGTGTGCACTTTGTAACATAATTGCCACCGCAAGGACAATTTTGTACCAGTTTGCAGCGTTAGCCTCAAGCCTCAAGGCTTTGCTGAAGGTTCTGTGCGCCTTGGGTGTTCGCTTCTACACACCTTGCAAAAATGTAAACTAATTCTCACCTCAAGGTAATTTGTGGATCTTTTTGCTTTTGTGTGGAGTTTGTAGCCTTAAATTGGTTAAGAGTGAGATTAGCATGCAGTGCAGTTCCAGGAAAAGTGATCTTCTACTGTGGGGGTGTGAGGTTAAACTAATAATACACCCAAATGAAAATCCTTGGCCAAAACCCAAAATTCAGGACACACTGTGTTGAAAACTAAAACTAAAAACTGAAGAAAGCTGACAATAAACCCAGTTTACATACTAAAATGATTGTAGTTCAAAGGCTGCAGTATGTACTGTAGAGAGTGGCTGGTCGTCAAAGGTAATGAATTCCATTTTTCTAGTCATACTTTGTACTTTGGCACTATCATTCTGAAATTTTCTTTATTTTAAAAATATTTTACAGATGGAGTCGGCATGCTTGCCAGGACCTTCTTCTGTGGCCGTAATCTGTATATTCTGTTTTCAGGTTGAATTAAACCTGTAGTGGTCTAATGTCCCTCATAGAAACCATGAAATAGTTCCACAAGGCCAACGCTTTTAACTGTTGATCTACTGCTGCTCAAATTATTTGAACATAGCATTTCTCACTTGCATTAACATTAGAATTATTTGAAGTATAATAGTCCAGGTTTTGATACCTTGTTGTAGGCCTATTTAGTATTTATTTGTTTATTCTTTTTGGTCAAAAATAACCAAATGTGGTTTATCCCAGGTTGAACATTTAAACCCTACACTGTGAAAAGGTTTCCTAAATGGTTCTTAGCTCGGACGTACAATTTTAGGAACAAAAGCTTTTACTTATTGGCATTTTATGTTACATTATGAAGGTTCTCTCAACTTTCAAAAGGTTCTTAACACTCACACAACTCTTGCAAAAATGATTGTATTCACTGAAAACCTCATTAGAACAATTATAGTTCTTCTATGGCATCATTCCAAAGAACTCTTTTGGACGTCTTTATTTTTAAGAGTGCTCTTTTAGGTTCTTAAAAGGTTCCTGGCTTTGATATGTGATTCTAGGTAAAACCTTTAATTTGTTTAGAACCTTTACATTATGTGCAGGTTCTACAAAAGTAGATCTAGAAAGAACCATTAAGTGGTGCTTCTACGATGTCATTCCAAAGAACCCTTTTAAGATGATGTTCTTTAATGATTCTTGGCTTGGATGTGCAATTTTAGGAAACAGTTTTACAATGTTCAGTATTTTACATTATGTTGAGGTTCTTTAAAGTTTATGAAGGTTCTTCACATGCACACGTCTCGTTTACAAAAATGCGTTTATCTACTGAAAGGTTCTCCAAAAGTGGTTCTTCTCTCATGTTGCTCCACAGAATCTCTTTGGGCACTCTTAAAAATAAAGGTTCTTATAATAATTCTGGGTTTGGATATATGGTTCCGGGAGAACCTTTGCGTAATGTGGAGGCTTATTATGAACCTCCCAGAAAAGGTCTTTAGTAAGCCAAAAGTGGTTCTTCTTTGGAATCGCACCAAAGAACCACTTTTGGCACCATTTTTAAGAGTACTTTGCAGCTCTTTACCTTTCTCTGTTTGACTCCTGAAGCAGGGTTAGCTAAGGTCACCTATGTAGGGCACAGGGCAAAAATATCTAGAATAAAAAGTGAAGTTTTTCACTGTCATGACAACAAACACATTTCCTTGGCAACCTTTTGCTGGACTTCGTTAGTGCATTCCTTCCTGATATGACAATAGGTTTGGTGTTGTCTTAGAAAAATAAACCCACTTTTCTGTGCACTGTTGAAAATCTCAAAACCACTCAAGACTTTTTGATGGGTGGAGGGTGAACGGGCCTCTAGCGTGGTTTATTTTCTCTGGGTTTAGTTGCACTTCCTATGGTGGACGTATACGAACGTATACAGTCCATCAACACTGCCTCCCTCGGCTTTAGCAGATGACAGCACATCTCTCAAGAAAACACATTTGGAAGCCAAGTGCTAAAGCAGTCTTTTCACAGGCAGTCAGTGTGTTAGCTGTGAAGGCGAGCTGCGCTGGGTTGCGAGTAGCATTTGGGCAGAGTGTTAATTGCGAGCGGACAGGTCCGGACTAGCACGTCTGTCTCAGCCCCCGGACCTTCTGTCATACCTGTTCTTCACCTCAAGCTCGTCAAAGTCAAAGCCTGTGAACTCACAGTGTGGAAAACAGAATTCCATTCTATGTGTTCAGTTGCTATAAAAGAGTGACATATATAAATGATGTGGGTCTTCAGGCTGTATATCAAAATTCAGTACTTTAGTGTTACAGAACAAATTACTGCAATTCTAACATGTATTAAGAAATTCCATCTGGTTCTGTACAAAGGAACCTACAATGAAGGGAAACAAGCATTCGGACACTTCCGTTTTTGTCATTTAATCAAATTCCAGTGCAGGTATCCACTTCAAATTTACACACAATGTCTTTTAACTTATAAATATTAACACGATTCTTAAGTATTAAAAAAGACACATTTTAAAAACTAAATTGATGGGAAAAAAGTATTCAGACATGTTAAATTAATAACGCTAGTACTTTGTTGCAAAGCTGTAGTTGGCAATAGCTTTGAGACATCTTTGGTAAGAAGTTATTAGCTTTTTGCAGTATTGTGGTTTTTCCTACCAAACTTCAATTTCGAAATCCTTCATTCATTTTCAGTGATTCGAGTCAAAAGATTGGCTAGGCCATTCAAGCACTTTCACTGATCTTGAATTATTTTGACTGTATGTTTGGGGTCATTGTCTTTTTGAAACATCCATCTGTCAAGTTTCAGTTTCTTGGCCAATGAGATCAAACTCTTCTCTAATCTTCTGGTACATTGATTGCTTTGTTCATGTTTCCTAGTAACATGTTTCCCAGTAATGTTTGCAGATGATGCTTCCACCTCCATATCTCATTGTGGGTCTGGTGTTCTTGGTATCATACACACAACCCTTCTGTAGCACATCATGTGTTACCCCGGGCTCAGGAAGGACGCTGAAGGCAGCCATTTCACTTTAATTTTCACACCAAACACAATCAAAGCAAAACAAAGCCTGTGCTCCCAGTCTCGGCCAATGGAATGGAACGCGAGGCAGATTAAAGTGACCGTCTTCGGAGTTTGGTCCCCACCTTTCTGTCAGCTCTCGCGGCCAACATCGGGGCCCAGGGCATGGGCGCATACCACGCCTCCTTTCTAAACATGATGAGCTGAATTGTGGCCAAAAAGTTCTATTTTTTATTTTCATTGTTCCAATAGAGTTCAGATTTGTCTAAATTCAAATTTCAGATGCGTCTTTTCAGCAGTGGAGTTTTGCGTGGCGTGTAGGAATGGAGATGATTGCAGTACAGGTTATTGCTGTCCCTGATAGCTGTGTGAAATCTTCCCAAACAATGGCAACATCTTTATAATGACACCAGCCAGGTGCAATCAGCATGAGATGTTTATATCAGTGAGCTAATAAGCAGGCCTATTCCAAAATGTGGACTGATGATTGACTGTCTAAATTACATTTTGTATGCCTGTTACTAACATCAGTGCTTCTTGATTAGTCTGTGATATGTTACAGTCCATAAATATACTCACTTTTAGCACCTTGCACTCATTTCTGGTTTGGTTTTGTAATTAAAAAGAAAGTATGGAAGAAGCATCATTCAGGAAATGGTACTGAAGTCATGGTATCGTTAATGGTACCCGTATCAGTATCAGTACCAGATACAAACAATGTAAATGTAGCCTCAAAAGTAGTACAGTGGTTTTAAGGTCCAATTGTGCACCTTAAATACGTTTTTCCAGGTGAAAAGTACAGATTTGTACCTTTTCATAACCTGATGTTTTAAAACAGAACAATAAAATTAAAAGCCTGGAGACGAGACGGGGTGTGTGGAGTTAATACAACTTAGAAAATATAATGTCAGTGGATTTTGGTACAATTACATTCCCTGGGTAAAGGTACTGAGATGTACCCTTGAGGTACAACCCCAGTGACAGTCTCGTACCTTTATCTCTGAGAGTGTATCTGCAGGATAGTTGTTATAATGCATGTACCTCAGATCATACTTGTTGGTATAAAACATGGTACACGTGTATTAACTTGTTACTGTGGGAAAGGTATGTCATTTATGCCCTCCCAGGTTTGCCCTACATTCACAGCTGCTTCACTTTGTATCATCTTGTGCAGAGAGGTTTTATAAGAGTAATAATTCTTTTGTTCTTCTTTCATCCTCAGCTTTGAGCTTGACAGTGCTTAATGTTGTAATTGTGACATTCCACAGGAGCTTTTCTACTGTAGACATGTACAGTTATTGTCAATTGGCCATACATTCTGTTTACATTACATAATTATTGAAATGTAATTACATTGTAATGATGCATTAAGTACATAATAATTACATTTTAAATTGTATGTATGTTCTGTCTGCTCAGGTTAGAGTCTGGCTACTCTGTACTGTTTGTTTTAAAGTCAAACAATGAGAAAAACATGCCAAAATGTCTTTCCTCAAGACTGTGTGTGCAACCATAGCTTCTCAACAATTCAGATAATAATAAAATATCTCCTACATACAAATCCAATGTGGTGTCTACTGAATGTTTAGAAAACAACTAGGTGAGATGTGTATATAACTGTAAGTTAAAAGCTTAATATAACAATGCTCATCATAAATTAAGAACAAAATGATGACTTTTATATACAGTTATGTTGCTGCTGGACTTTTGGAATTCATGATCCGGACAGTTATGACCCCTAATATGACTTATCAGTCTTTCTCATTCCGCTTCAACAGCTCCAGTGTTCTATTTTGGGGATGTGCAGTACCATGTGGACGAGAGTGACGGCTATGTGGAGGTTCGGGTTTGGAGGACAGGATCTGACCTCTCTAAGACGGGCACGGTTACTGTGCGCTCCCGAAAAACTGACCCCGTTTCTGCTGAAGGTATGTGATATTAAGTCTCAATGCAGAGGCAAAGTGTGGCCATTCCTGCCTTTTAATCTACTCGCAATTCAATTGATATGTAAAGAATCTGATTTAAGTCAAAAGGCTCAGAAACTCTCACAGTGCATCAACAATAAATGCTGTGTGGAGCTTCTTTCACACAGTGATAGAAAACACAGTAGCCCACTTTACTGCTCTCGACAGGTTTTCCATAATAGAAAATAACCATTTAACCAAACAAACACATGTAAGCGTTTAAATGGTTGAGTGTTCACGATTCTATATATTACAATTACCTTTACTAAAGAACCCTTGTAGAACCATTTTTAAAGGTTGTATGGCCAGCATGGACAAGCATGGAGACCAGCTACTCTGGAGAAAGATTTTAGTTAAAATGGACAAAGATAAAGAGTCTGAATGAATAGCAGACGCGATATTAGCATCCGTAGGCTTAAGCATCCAGTAACAAGTTTACACTGAAGACTTTTAACTGCTTAGATGACATTAGATGACCGTAACTTTTCTGTTAGCCGTTTTCACATAAGAGCTCCCAGGGTGCCTAAGAAGTCTAGAGTTACAAATGTTTACTTTTATTTTGCTGTTCTGTTCAAAAGTACATTAATGCATATTTTATTGCATAGTAATTACAATCTAGTTTCTGCACTTTCAGCAGAATCTCTCTACTTGCTTCAGTGAACTATAAGTAAGAAATAAGTTCAAGTTCAAGAGGCTTTATTGTCATTTCAGCTTTATACAAGTACACAGTGAAACGAAACAACAGTCCTCCACAAGAACACAAGTGCGAGACAATATAATATACACAGTGCAGACAATACAGTATAATAAATATGAAAGACTCATAAATACAAAACAGAGCACAGGCAGTACACGGTACTGAGAATATGCAGATTGTGCAAAGCAGGATGTGTGAGTAAAGCAGTCACTGAGGTAGCAACCAGAACAACAGCAACGGGATACAGTATTTGGTTGATACAGTATTCAAGCAGCCGAAATTGTTAAAGAAACAAAATGTGCAAAAATCCAAATAGACAGATATTGTTAATATTTCATTACAATTGCTTTTGGAACTGTCATTATAACCTCAAGTAACAATTTAATTCTCTTTTTGGTTATTTTATGCCACTCTAAAGCATCTAATTTGGCTATTTAAGCTACTTTTACAGTTAGCTTAACTGACTGGCTGATATAAAATGCAATTCTGCACTCAGAAACTCACACAAGTGTCTACATTCACACAGAATCAGGGGAAGAATCAAGCTGAGATGATATTTTTGTTTGAAAGTATGAGCTAAACCCCTTGTTCTGTGGAGGTAAGCATAAATGCTTATAGTGTTAGTGTTCACTTTCTAACTAGCTTAATGAACTGTTTACAAAGAAGTACCTGTAAAAATAGGAGTCAACACAAACATTTCATTATGGTTTACATTCTGATGCATCTATTCTGTATGATGTAATAGTGCTTAATGACTTTATCCTCACCTGGAAGAGTGAAGAATTTGCTGAATTGCCACTGGAGGAAAACTCTATTGAGTTAGGTCTTTTGGGTCCACTTGGTTTTGTTGGTGCCAACTTTGTAGAGGTACCCAAGACCCAAGCAGCTGGAGCCATCATTTTTTTTTATTATTATTATTTTTATGTATTTTAATATTACCAAGCTATTGTTTTATATTGTTTATTTCTTTATTTGTTTATTTTTATGTATCCTTCTTTTATCTTACTTATCAAGTTACTAAATTGTTGCAATTTTAATGGTATATTTTTTTTTTAAAATTTTCTACTATAATTATTATTACTTTTTTAGCATTTGAAATGTTTTTCCTATTTAACTTCTCAGTTCCTGATTTCTGTATTGCCTTGGCTACATTGTAAATCAGGGTCTTTCTCAGTGTACTCCGAGCTTAAATTAAGGTTGGTGGGTTGGTTGGTTGCTTGGTAGCTTGGTTGAATGAAACTGATAGCAAATGGAAAAAAGCACAGTGTCCAATGTCCAGAGATGACCCTGCTTGTAGAAATAGAAATCATAAATAATACTAGTACCTGTTCCTGCTAGCCTGGAGGCAAAGGCATGTTTTATACACATAAGAAAGAGAAGAGTAGTTGAAAAGCCACTGCATTCTCAGAGTTCACGCAACACAGGGAACGTACACAGTGAAAGAGTTTCAGTTTCAGATCTGTTTTATGGTGTAGAGGAACTGCTGCAGGTGTAAAACCTTGACCTCAGCGCATCAATGGAGCTGAAGCGAAGCCAGGCTCAGAAATGCTCACTATGGCTCACGCACTCTTACAGTTTTCACATATTTTTGGTAAAAACTTCTCGGCAAGTTCAGAATCTCCTCCCTCCTCTCTCCCCCCACCTTATCACTGCTGCGTCTGCCTCTGAGCTGTCCTCGGCCCACTTGCTCCCCCATAAGAGCAAATATTGTTTTTGTGCTATCTAATCTAAAGCTGTTCTGCCAAAATGGTGCTGCAGACGGTCATACACTGCACGGTCAGCGGTGCGTGGGAGAAGCGTAGGGGAGTAAAGGGTGCACTATCAACACCCTGGGCCTCAAAAGCTGAGCAAATGAATAACTCAATCATGGCTTCAAAGCTGTGGTATCAGGTGGTGGAGGAGAAAGGCCTAATCTCCAGTGAGCAAAGAGTGCTCAGTGGGTTTATTGAGCATATTTTCTTTCTTTGTAGTCTGTTTTGACATTAATCATTCACTTTGTTCGTGTCACTGCATGTTACAGGTGGAAATGATACCAATAATTAGATATTTCAAAAATACAGCAGTAAGACTTCGTAGTACATGACTGTTCAAAAGTCTTCAGTAATGTAAAATCAATTTGGTTTAAATTAATTTAAATGAATTATGTCATGAATGTGACGTAGACTTTCACTTAGGACCTCACTCAAGAACAAATTTAAGAGAAAAACCTAGGAAGAAATTGGTGAATGAGACCCAGAGAGGGCTCTTTTGGTTATTATGCTTCTAAACTGTGGAGCTCAGATCCACCTTTTATTAGAGAGTCAAGCACAGTGCTCACTTTTAAGAAACATTTAAAACCGTATCTCTTTAGTTTAGCTTATAATTATTACTTTTTAATTTAATTTTACAGTTTTTCCCTTTTATTGCTGTTAACAAACAGTAACTATAATAGAAGAAGATTAAACTTGTATTGCTGTTAAACATTATCACATGTCTGTAAAGCATGTTGAGCCACTGGTATAAAAAGAGCTATATGAAAATAATAATAACTATTATTATTATTATTATTATTATTATAATAATAATAATAATAATAATAGTATTATTATTAGAAATGATTCTAAAATGTTTGAATAATAGTATAATTGCACCAATGTACAGTTAAAATTAACAGTATGTTCTCTTTTAAAACTTTTTTTTTTTCTTCAGTTGAAAACGCCAGCTGCACGTTCCAGTATGTGAACACTTAATGATGAATGGACAGTTTAAAATGATATAATATTGCTTTAACAAATCACATCTTGTTACATTAACATACGTTTAAACCAGTTAACTGAGTTTTTCCTGTGAGGTCGTGTTTTGACAGAGACGACACCCTGACACTGTTTTTAAAATAACAACTTGCTCACAAAGCATAATCAACAGCTCTGAGATTTCCACAGTTTGGCCTAATTATCACTAAAGGTGTCTGGAGTTGCTCTTTTAAATCCAAATCAAATTGCAAGAGTGTAAAAAGAAAAAATTCAAATTTAAAGTAAAATGAAGTCAAATATGAATATTCTCACAGCCTCGAAGTTTTGTGAGAAAATAAACTATTTCTCAATAGAAAACCTACTTTCCTTTGTTGATGTGTTTTTTTTATAGAGATATGATGTTAATCTATGTGTTCTATGAGCAAAACATTGCAACTGAAGGTCTCCCCTCATTGTCTACACAGCTGGTGAGGACTATGTGGGGATCAGTAAGAATTTGGACTTTGCTCCAGGCGTCACCATGCAGACGTTCCGGGTGACCATCCTGGACGACCTGGGTCAGCCTGTGTTGGAGGGTCCAGAGAAGTTTGAGCTGGTGCTGCGTATGCCCATGAACGGCATCCTGGGAGAGCCCGGGAAAAGCCACCATCTTCATCAACGACTCTGTTTCAGACTGTAAGTGTTCGTCAGCTAATCAAGTTGAACAGTTTTTGCAAACAGTGATCAGAATGAAAAAGCAAAGTGGCCTGGACAGCACCATGAAGAACTTTCCCTCTGGAGCATTTTGTGTCTATGTAAGACTGACCGATATTGGGGGGAAAAGTAACATGAATATTTTAAAGCGATTTTAAAGAGAGAGTAGAACATGCTTATGTCATCTTCTCCTGTTCCCATAGCAACATTATTTGGGAACTTTGACAGCAATCAGACAAATAGTTCTCATGATTCACTCTAGAAAACTTCATTATAAATATTTTTTTGATTTGTGAGTTGTGTGTATAATATGACTTGTTTTAGGGCCACTGTAAAAAAAAAAAACAGTAACAGACCTCGAGATTAAAGTGATATTTCCTAGAATAAAATTGTAATATTTCGAGAAAAAGATCGTAATATTTAAAGAAAAAAGTTATATTTTTTAGAATAGAATCATAATATTTCAAGTATATTATTTGAAAATAAAGTCTGAGAATTCCGACATTAAAGTGGGATATTACCAGGAAAAGTTGCAATATTGTGGTCAAAGCGTTTGCAAAAAGAATGTAGCAACTTCCTCGTGTTAAAATGAGAGTTGATAGTGTTATACTTTCATATCAGTTTCACCAATAAAGGAATACTCAGTCTCCTGGCACATCAGCAACAGAATGTTATTAGTACAAGAAACGGCTAAAATGGCTGTGCAAGAAACTGTGTTTATTTAGAATAAAGAACCAGACCGACTCGGAGGAAATTGTCTATTTTGTTGAAGGAGAACTCGCAGGCAGTGGTCGTCTACAAGGCAGTGGTCATCTATAAGGTGGTTACACCTCTGAGCTATTCAAAGAGGGTATGTAGTTTCACAGGAGACAATGAGAATGATTATAAAAATGCTCGGCATCTTCATCATCGCTATTAGAGCAGCTGAGGACCCACCGCGTTATGGCCCCCTAAAATTAGCCTTCTATCCTGAAATATCGAGAGTTTATTCTTGTAACTTTACAACTTCAGTCTCGAAATATTAAGATTTATTTTTTTTTAAATATTACAATTTCATTCTAAAAAATACGACTTTATTCTCAAAATATTATGACTTTATTCTCAAAGTCTATTTTTTATTTTTTTTTAACAGTGGACCTAAAGTGTTGTAGTATAAGGAACAGAATAAACACCTATATTATTTTATTTATTTATTTACTGAATTATTTTTGGCCAGGCTAAAGTACAGCCCCCACATGGAATTAAGGCCATAGTTCAATATTTTTGCTGCAAGAATCGTTCAAAACGCTGTAGTCTTTGCACAATATTCACTCTCTTAGAACAAGCCAGTGCTGTAGTCCTCCTCATTTTTCCCACAGTGCACATTCAAACCTCTACAAATGATTATTCGCTCTCTCTCCTTTGTATCTCCAGTGCCTAAAGTTCAGTTCCGAGATGTGACATACACAGGAAACGAGAACGATGGGAAGATTACGGCCATCATTTACCGCAGCGGTGACCTGAGCTACAGGTCCAGCGTACGCTGCTACAGCCGTCAGGGTTCAGCCCAGGTCATGATGGACTTCAACGAGAGGCCCAACACAGACGCTTCCATTATCACTTTCTTACCAGGTCAGCTTCTCTGCTGCTTGTACAGTTTACACAAGCCCTTAACTGCTTAAACAGATTTGGGTTCCACTTTAGAATAAGACTACCTTTATAAAGGGTTTATAAATGCTTTTAAAATGTGCTTATTAGTGGTTATTAATTAGATCATAAACACCTTAAACTCATTAATAAACAGTTACAACACACAAATAAAAAAGGTCCCTGTTGTTTGCCTAATAGAGAACTCACATTCATTTATACTGTTAAACCTTATATATTGTGATGTTTGCTGATCTTCCTTTGTCTTCTTCTCCAGTCAGCATTAAACCTGTCAGCTTCACATATTCATATTCATCAATTTGAAAGGTCACTCACTTTTGCCCTTTTAATTAATGTGTTATAACTGTTTATTAATGATTTTTAAATGTTAATGACCTAACTTATAACCATTATTAAACTTGAATTTTAAAATGTTCATAAAGGCTTTATAAGGGTAGTTTTTTTCTAAAGTGGTACCCAAATATTGAAATAATTGATATTCTGTATACATTGGGGATACTTCATTTTAGGAGTATAGTTTGATTTTCACGGTTCACTTTTCAATTACACTGCCATTCAAAAGTCTGGAGTCACTCTTTTCAAAAATACAAAACCAATTATTTTGCAGATACACATATAAAATGAATGTAATGTGATTGTGATGTTCTGTAGGGCTCAAACAATTTGTAGGAAACTGTAATAATAGTATTATAAATGGAGCTATTTGTAATTCTATAATAATGGAGTAAGTGCTGTAACATTGATAATAAACTTATAGTATATTAATATCTAGAATGCCTCATGTTTGAAAAGCAGTAACCAAATCTTACAAATCATTTAGTAATTTCATGACAAAACACTTCTATAAAAAGATAATTACTATTTATTGTTTAAGAACATTGGCTATTTTTACCACTTCATAAAGTCTTGTTCCTAAAATGCTCCTAAAATTGTGAATAAACTGTGAGTTTTCACTTTGGGATCTACTTTATAGCATTTTGAGCTACACTAAATAAGCTATAATTGAATACATTTACATTTACATGTAGCAATTTAGCAGATGCTCTTATTCACAATACAATTTACAAAATAACGCAAAGTACCTCGAAATACTGCAAGAATAACACATTTCAAAGTAACAATTATTATGTCAAGTGATTCCAAATTTTAAAGGGTTGTGTTAGTAACAAAAAATACAAGAGGATAAAATATGAGTGGTATGGCTTTATTTGCATAGCTGCTCCTAAGCTGTGTTGTTAGCTGTTCCTTGAGATTTGTAAAGAAAAATGTCAAGATCTTAACAGTTTCTATTAAATATGTTAATTTTTTGCAAACTGCCATGCCACAACCTTTTGCAGAGAGAGCTTGTTAAAACTAAAATTACTTTTTGTTTCCTTTGTGTAGGAGAAGTGGAGAAGCCATGTACTCTAATTCTAGTTGATGATACGGAGCATGAGGAAGTCGAGGAGCTGAGGTTGGTGCTGGGGAGCCCCAAAAGCGAGTCTCCGTTTGGGGCGTCCATCGGAGCTCAGAATGAGACGCTTATCAAGATAAAGGATGATGCTGACAGTAAGACTTTTCTGAAGTTTACCATATTGTCAGTCTCATAAGGAGACTCTATATCTCAGAAACAATAACTTTATAAGAGAAGAGAAAGATGATCTTAACATTTGTCAGTGTGTATATATATGGGGCCAAATGTGTGTGGACACCCCTCCTAATTATTAAGTTCAGGTGTTTCAGCCACATACATTGCTAACAGGTGCATAAATTAAACACATAGCCATGCAGTCTCCATAGACAAACACTGGGTCATACTGAAGAGCTCAGTGACTTTAATTGTGTCACTGTCATAGGATGCCACCTTTGCCATAAGTTAGTTTCTGAAGTCTCTGCCATGCTAGATCTGCCCGTCAACTGTATGTCCTATTATTGTGAAATAGAAATTGCATCACACTTTAGAGTTCCAAACTACCTCTGAAAGCAACATCACCACAAGAAATCTGCATAAGAGGTTTCATAAAATGGGTTTCTATAGCCGAGCAGCTGCACACAAGCCTAAGATCACTATGCGCAATGCCAAGCGTCAGCTGGAGTGGCGTAAAGCGCACCACCACTGGACTTTGGAGCACATGGAAACGTGTTCTCTGGAGCTATGAATCATGCTTTATAACATATCAGTCCGATGGGCAAATCTGGGTTCGGTGGGTTCGGAGGAGAACGCTAACAGTAAAGTTTGGTAGAGGAGGGATAATGGTCTGGGGCTGTTTTTGAGGGGTTTGTCCTGATGGTTTCAGTGAAGGATAATGTTGATGCTACAGCACAGAGACATTTTAGACAGTTATAAACTTCAAACTTTGGGGGAACAGTTTGGGAAAGACCCTTTCCTGTTCCAGTATGACTGTGGCCCTGTGCACAAAGTGAACTCCATAACAACATAGTTTGATGAGTTTGGTGTGGGGAAACTCCAGTGGCCTGCACAGAGCCCTGACCTCAACCCCACTGAACACCTTTGGGATGTTGATTGTGAGCCAAGCCATCCCGTCCAACGTCTGTGCCTTACCTCACAAATGCTCTTTTGACTGAATGGGCACAAATTCCCACTGACACATTCAGGAATCTTGTAGAAAACCTTCCCTGAAGAGTGGAGGCTGTCATAGCTATAAATGGGGACAACTCCATATTAATGGCCATGGTTTTGTATTGTGATGTTCGGCAAGCTCATATATGTGTGAAGGTCTGGTGTCCACATATTTTTGGACATATAGTGTACTGTAATAAAATATATAAATTGTTCTAGCATCATACCTCAGTAGACGCTCTGTTGTGCAGTCATTTCACAATGCAGTTCTCTGTTTTTTATCATGCTCACCCCAATTAATCAGTGATGAAGGACCAGTATTTTAACACAGTTTTAATTATCATGTTTTTTCTGCAGCTGCATTAGGTACGAAAAGACAACATGTCACTTACAGAGCTGTTAGCTGTTAAGAGATTTATACTTCCTTCCACAGCTGAAAGAGCTTCTGGCTATAAATTCTCTTATTTGCTGAGGATATTAAAGAGCAGGTTGTGGGCGGCCGTGACACGAGCTGGAGGTTGAATGTAAACAGTGGTTTACCAGTCACCTCCTTCCATTCCCTCTCCTGAGTTTACCCACAGTCTATTCTTATCTTCTCTAAAGGTCCTGGCGGAATATTTTATGTAGGACTGTGGAGTATAAATGTCAGATGTAATGAACACGAAGGCATAACACAGAAACTGAGCCTTGGCATCTTCTAAACCTGCATACTACAATTGGAATATTCAACAACAGAAATATAAGTATAGTATGACTACATAGGGTGTTTTTCCACTGCACAACCTAAACATTCTAGCTCTAGTTCATTTCCTTCCTACCTGAGAGACGACTGAAACCATCAGTTAACACATGTATTGTCCTTTTGGTCATTTTATGCCAATCGTAAGCATCACTCCCACTGAAAAAACAGCACAGACCAGCTAGAATTCCATGCTGGCTTACGCTGGTCTGGTGCTGGTCTGATGCTGGTTTAGATGGTCATCCAGTATGGTTGTAGGAGTGGCTACTCCAGTTATGCACTGCCTTTACACCAAAAAAGACACAAAAACCGATCAGAACATTTAATTTAGCCATTATTCCATGTACCCTACCATCTGTCTTGCTCTCTTAAGTGACTGTCATTAGCTTGGAAATTTACAGCCAACAATCAACAGTCAACACTGTCACTTAAAATCAAATATGTTCTTTTCTAACCATAAGCTTGATGAGGATGGATTAATCTATTACAGTTTTATTTATTATTTGTTATTATGTTGTTATTACTTCAAATTTTAGTTTGCCTTATTTATTTTGTGTTTAAATTTCATTAATTGGTGTATTATCTTAGATTTATTTTATTGTTCCCCTTCTTAATTAAATCTTAATTTTTCTCTTAAATTGTTTCCTATTTATCTTGTTTGATCTTGTTTGATTTTACTGTTTAACCTGATTAAATTCTATTTTAATCTCTCTTTCAATCCTTTTACGCTGTAATTGCTTGGCTGCATTGAAAATGAGGGTCACCCTCAATGTATTTCTGAGGTTGATTGATTGATTTTCACCACAGAGAACACAAGTAAATGCTTCTTTGAGTGCTTTCATACTTAACATACTCCTTTTCCACAGAATATGACAGCATTTTTACCAACATGTTGATTTGCAAGGGATTAAAATAACCTTAGGTTATGTCCACTGGTCATTTTATAGAAGGTAAAAGGTGACAGGATCTTTACTGATGTGGGAGCACGCAGTCCATAGAAATGACTGACATGGTGCATCCAGACTGGACTAAAATCACTGAGAAAAGGCAGTTAAAATGACCACCTCATGTAAAAGTAAACCTAAAATAAAAATCGCTGCTTGCTTTCTTACTTGTGGTCTGTAGTGTACAACTGACATTTCTCACGTCCTGCTCTCCCTCAGAGGCCATTATCAGGTTTGGGGCGACCAAATTCAGCGTGAGTGAGCCCACTGAGTCTGGACAGGTCTCTGTGGTGAAGATCCCTGTGCAGCGTGTAGGGGACACCTCCAAAGTGTCGGTGGTCCGCGTCCATACCAAAGATGGCTCTGCGTCCTCTGGAGAAGATTACCACCCAGTGTCAGAAGGTGACTGCAATTAAAACATCACTGAAATGCTGGCTTGGTTTTTGGACCACAGTGATGAATTCTACCTTTTTGCACTGAATGTTTAAAAGGTTATATTGACAGCACTGCATAATTATCTTGAATGATGCAGCATGACCATGTAAAAGTCAGCCAATGAACAGTGCAGGTTAAACACGACGCTAAATTTGACTTAATATGCCGTACTTATTTGTGTTTATTTACCGTTTGTACTATTTATTATTTGTTTAAACCCTTAAATGGCCAGGGTCCACTGACAGGCCCAAAGTCCTATTACAGGCTTCTATAACTTAAGAATAGCTCAACCAATTTGCATTGAAGTCCATTTCATTACTGATTAATAAGCCTTAGTATTTAATAAGCCTGGGATTTTAAGGGCTTAATATTTGTTTATCTTTTTGTATCCTCTGTTGGTTATTTGCATACAGTGGCCTCAAAAAGTATTGGGGGCAGTGGACTTTTTGTCATTTGAGCAGTTTCTTAAATGCCTTTGTAAATTTCTGATTTCATGAGCGAGTCCTTCTCCAAGTTTTCTCCAGTTTGATGTTGTGCCAAAAAATGTTTTTCTCTAAAGTAAACATAATTTTAAGTAATTTAAAGGAAATTAAACATTACACATAGTGAAAGTGTGCAAATAATTTTTAGGGCAACGGTAAGCAACACTTTCATCAGGGCAAGTTCAAGTTCTTCATTTAGATTCTGATTGATTCCCAAACACTACAAGCGCTGATGCCTGAACTGTTGACTTTCCAATCCTGCAGACATTGAATTTGAGGAAGGGGAGACGGAGCACACGGTGGAGATTGAGATTCTGTATGATGGCCTGCGCGAGATGAGAGAAGCATTTACGGTCCATCTGAAGCCGGACGAGAACATGGTGGCTGAGATCCAGGTGCTCACTGATCATCCTGCAGGGTTTACACATTAGAGTTCAGCTGTATGTTGGCATTAACAAGAAACACCCTCCAGTGAGCTGAGTTTCTGTCTTCAGCTTCACAACATCTGGCAGGATGTGTATTGAACCCTGACAAATGTGGTTATTGTTATCTTATTACTTCACTATTTAAGTGTTATTACTTAATAACTTATGCGTAGTAAATTACAAAATGTTTTACAGTTACATTTGATTTATCTGTCCTTTAGGACTGACTATAAGTTTTATTACTAGTTTTTAAATCTTTTAATGGTAAAGCACCCTTCATTTTGACACTTTTTGAAAATTATTTTCCCAGTTGTGTCTTAAGATTATCAGATGCCACCTTCTCCATACTCCACATATGAAAGCTAAAAAATGTAGTGATGCAGTTTGTTTTTATGCAGATTTGTAACACATTACCAAGATCTGTAGCTCATGACCAATAATCATTTCTCAGGCTCCTTCTATTATTGATTAACTCATCATTTTTCAGGCACATTACCTTTTAGTTATTTTGCTTTTAAGTTAATTGTTTCATTATAGGCATACTTTTCTCTTTCATATTAATTGCTATTTTTATTGTTTTTGTCGTTCTCTGCTACCACTTTTATTTAATAATTGTTTTATTTATACTATTTATTTTAATACTATTGTTTTATTTATTTATACAATTTATTTATACTATTTTATTTATTTTCTTCTTTGTTTTCTTTGTTTTTCATTACATTACATTATAAATCACTTTATTTTGTGAAGCATTATAAAGCACTGCATTTTAAATGTGTGAAAGGTGCTATATGAATACAATATTATTATTATTATTATTATTATTATTATTATTATTGTTCTTGTTGTTGTTGTTGTTGTTGTTGTTGTTGTTATTATTATCAACAGTTTTCAAGTTTTTACTTCTGACTATTTTTTTTTCACTGAAAAAATTATTGGTGTCAACCTAGAAAAGTAAATAAATTTGCTGCAACAACATTTTTTAACTACTTATACTAAGTTAACAGAACAAATGTGTCTTATGTTTTGTTAAGTTGTTATTTCATGTTAAGTGAACTCACCATTTGATTGCAGCAGGTTTAATTACTTCTGAATGTTCAGACACCAAAATATTTTGTAGAGTGTTGTTTTAATGTTAAAAAAATGAACAAAACAAAACAAGCCTGGACGTACAATAACAGTCAGAATATTTATATCAGAAAAAAATGTTTACATAATGCTTCTCTTCTTACATCACAAATGGGGATTAAAAGTGTGTTATACACAGAAATTCTCCAATAGTTTCATTAAGCTACAAGTCAGAAATAACAAAACAAAATGTGAGAGATGTTTATAGGCATATACGCCGTGGGGACCTAAGGAGCTTGAATTGTATATTGGCATTAAAGTCAGCACGTCTTCTACAGGGTATTATCTCCCAAGATGACAGTTATTTTGTTATTTTATAATCTTCAGCCTCATAACTATTACGAGGATCTTTACTGTGTATTTAATAGCTCTCTTCTTTTTCATGCAGATGACCAAAGCCATCGTCTACATTGAGGAAATGAACAGCATGGCTGATGTGACCTTCCCCGCAGTGCCAGTGGTCATATCCCTCCTGCAGTACGATGACACCAGCAGTGCCCGAGACAGCCAGCCAGCTGCCGGCTACCCCGTCGTCTGCGTCACAGTGAGCTTCAGTCTCATCTAATCAATCAGAACTCCGCTGCTAACGGAGCTTCGCTGTTAAGATCATGACACTGTTGGAGTTTTAGGCCTGACACTCGCTCTGATCTTACCAAGTTCTTTAAAACGCCTATCATAGCTTGTTACTTTTATTTGATGTAATTTGTGTTATTTTGATGTGCTTTCATCTCCATTTTCTTATTGCCTGCTGTTTTATGTTCACTTTATTTGATCACTTCTGTGAAGCTGCATGTTGCAGAAAGACACTTTAGAAATTTCCCATCTTGCTCAGCTTCTTCTTATTATTTTTATTATTAATATTATACATTTCTGTTCAACACTTCATCATCTAGATATAATCATCATCTAGAACACATTTAGTTGCAAAATAATCAATAATAAAGGAATGATTCTAATGATTCTATTCTTACAGGCTGTATAGCTTTAAGAATAAAGTTATGATCAATTCATATTCAGAATGCCTCATGTTTCAAAAGTGCTGATCAAATCTTGAGGCAAATAACGTCACCAAACCAATTAATTTTTTTCATAATTGCCCTTTTCAGATTATTTAATACTAATATTAATTTAAATTATTTAATATTTAATATAATAGATGCATTTAATATGTAGAGTACTGTAAAAAGTCAGAGACCACCCTTTCATCTGTTTAATTTCTAGTCAAAACAGCCAATAAGTTACCCATTTTCCAGCATTAGGAAAAAATAGAAACGTATATTTAACAGAAAATTACACAAAAGCCTCAACAAGGAAATATTAATTCAATATTTTCAGGATTTAGTGTGTGCACCCTTTGCTTCCATTGTATGCTTTCAGTTTTTCATTGAAATCTACAGAGATATTTTTCCACACCCTCAAAGTTCAGTCTTAGAAGTTGGTTGCACTTGCATCTTCTCACAATCCACACAATCCCGATTACAAATTCTTCTTTTTTTGTCTATTTCTTTATCTCAGTAGTGGCTTTTTGACACCTACACATCCTTTCAGACTCACTTCAGAAAACACTTGTGCTAGTTGGACAGATTATATTTGCAAACTAACTTTCCTTTAATGCATTTCATTGGGTTCATATGTCAAACATAAGGCTTTGCAGATGTGCTATCAACCCCCTGTCATTCTCCCATCCTGTTAAAACATCTTCTCTCTCTCCAGGCTTGCAACCCCAAGTACCCGGACTTTGACCGCACCGGCTCCATTTGTGCAGGCGAACACATCAACGACACGCTGACACGATACCGGTGGCTCGTCAGCGCTCCCACAGGGCTGGACGGGGTCACCAGCCCCATGAGGGAAGTGGACTTCGACACTTTCTTCACCTCCTCCAAAAGCATCACGCTGGACTCTGTGTACTTCCAGGCCGGCTCGCGGGTGCAGTGCGCAGCTAGAGCGGTCAACTCCAACGGGGACGAGGGTCTGGAGCTCAGCAGCTCCATTGTTTCCATCAGCGTAGAGGAGGGTGGGTGGAGATTATACTCTGTAAATGCAGCTTGTTCACAGATTAAAAATGAGCTTCAATGGAGGATCACTGTAAACAGTGCAATTTAATCCTGTGCTAGCCTTAATCTGAACTATGTGCACAAACATTAAGCCAAAGGCCGCATTCACAAGGACAGTATCCATCAGAGAAATGACAGATTGCTACACGTAGCTGGTTTATTGTGCTGTCTTGGCCAGATTGCTAAGAATTGCTGAGAAGGGTTGCAATCACTTGCTTTTTTACAGTTAGGTTTGGAAATACAAAAAATATATAAATAAGACATTTGCAACCACAATGGCTGAGTTTCAAACGAGTTGCAAATGAGTTGCAGGATGCTTTACTTTATGCAACTCGAGTGAAACTTGGTTTCATGTATGCTGCAAGCAACTGAAGTGTCAGTGTGTAACACCAGCCTTACCACAGCAAAAGTGTCTTCATTCATCTTACTCAATATCAACATGACTGACTGAAACTTCACCCCTGATTGTCTCTTATTGGCTGACGCATGGTTGCATCAGAGTACATTTCGTCAGATGTTTAACTATAGTACTTTTTTAATGTACAGCGGAGCGTAATGTTCTAGCATAGCCGTGCGTTCACATCAAGGCAAGACAGGTTTTTATATGACACATTTCATACATAAAGGCAGTTCAAACTGTTTTACATAAATAAACTCAAAATAAAACTTTATAAATAATTCAAAAGGAGTCAGAAAATGTAATTGAAGGAAATGATCAAAATAAAATTCAGTTAAAATAAATTACATTTATTGAAGTTCTTGAAGTTGACGGCAAAGCATTTTTGACAGGTAGCATCAAAACTCCTTGTGAATGTGACTGAATGCTGGAAAGTGAGTGTGAGTTTTCTAGGCACAGATTCGTTTACAATGTCAGTGGCGATTCTCTCTTGAAAATCCATTCCTCTCCAGGAGGAGGTCTAATCTGTGTCTGGGAAGGCAGCCCATAAAGAAACATCCATAGAGAATCTCTATTCCCACTGCAGTTCCAACACTATGACTACTAATGTGGGCCTTAGAAAATGATCCAGTGTTTGAGCTGCACTCTTTTATCATGCAGCTCTCTAAGGTCTTGATAACTAAATTGATCTTGACAGTTGAACTGAAATGAATCTTTGGCGTGGCTGGGTTTGCTGTTGATGGATTGTGTGGACTCTGATTGTGTTGCCCTCTGGCAGGTCTGTGCCAGCCTCGAGTGCTGGGCGCAGTGGGCGCTGAGCCTTTCTCTGCCAAACTCCGTTATACTGGACCAGAAGACCTGGATCACCCAAATCTCATCAAACTGACCGTCACCATGCCACACATAGATGGTAAGAGTTCTTGTGCAAAACTTGCGCTTGATTTCTCAGGTAATTTCTCAGGTATGAAGGTAACTTTCTGATTTTCTTCGACTCTCTGAAGTCGCTGTGATTGATGGCAGTAAGAAAAGCATACTGTGATTTAATTTCAATTATTTCTTGCTCTTTTTGAAACAAGACAGTTTTTTCAACTAAAGTACAAGAGGAGATGTTTTATTCAAATTTAAGATTGCTATGCATAGTCTTATCTTGTGGAGAGGAAAATCATCCTTTACATTTTTGCCATGTTTCTGTCATTGCTTGACAAATAGAAAAAAGCCAAAGTGTACACTGGAACCTTTTGATACCAGTGTTGGGCTAGTTACTCAAAAAAGAAATTCATTGCAAATTCCTGATTGTAATGGGATCACTTTACGTATTAATTCCCAGAAAAAGTCATCTTACTACTCATTATTTTCCTCATTTACTCTCTAAACCCACACAAATCTGGATCAACTGGAAAGTACAAGGGTAAATCCAGTAGTCCTTTCAGTACGTCATTTAGAAGAAACAGCCAATCACAGTAAACATCATTCAAAAGGCCTGTCATTATCTCTGCCTTTACTCCCAACAAGTTAATGCATGATTAAATTAGACATGGCTAATGCTGTTTGAAAGCTCAGAAATTAGCCGATATATAAAAAAACCAGCTGCCTTCAAATAAAGTGTGTATGAATAAAGTGTAAAGTTTACAGAGCTGTTTCTGAACAAAAGTTGAGTCTGACTTCTTTAGACACATTTAGGAAACTCTCTCCTTCAGCTTTCTTGTCTTAGAGCGTTCCATTAGCAGGATTAGAAGCTTTGACAAATCGCTTGTGGAGTTAATGGCAGCGGAAAGTCTTTTTTGTTTGTTTGTTTCTTTCTTTTTCGTCTCCCTCTGCTGCACTGCTCATACAGTCGTTTACACATCCTCTACAGAGTGAAACAAAAAAGAAAATCAATAAATAAACCAGAGTTCTGGTAGTAAGAACTTACGAAATATCAAAATATTGATGGATTAGACTGTCCTGAGTATTTTACTCATACTTTTACTTCTGCTAAAGTTTATTGTTAAGTAAAGAAATCCACCTTTTCTCAGTTATATTTTAGCCATTTATATTTACTTTCCAATTCCTTTTTTGTGTTATTTTTTATAATATTTAGTTGGTGACATCATCTGTGCTGCTTTGTGATTGGTCACATCTTTGGCTTTAGAGCTTCAGCATTTTACATTTTATTTCAGACCAAAAAGAATCCCAAAAGAGAAGAGTAGAGCCTTCAGTTTCTATGCTGATAGATTGCTAAGATCCACCTCAGTCCTCTAAATTACTCCATATTTAAGTAGTTTTTTGATGTGAACCTTTTGCACTTCTACTCAACTTGTTTTTTGGGAAGGTACTATAATTTTTACTCATATCATTTTTTTTTTGCCACAGTAATAATAATAATAACAATATTTTTACATAAGTAATGAATTAAGCTACTTTACCCACCTCTGGCCATAACTTTTGCACAGGCTACAATTTAATCACCCTAGATATGTCAAATTTAGCTAATGAACAGTAACTGTGCATTAAAATGTGCTCTCTGTAGACGTTGTGTAACTTATTTTTTAACTTAGAAAATCAACAAACCATGTCATTTGACTAGGGGTGCACAAATCTTTGCATATGACTGTATTTATGATTAAAGTCAGTCAGCTGGTCAGTCACAGGTAGCATACAAGCATGCAAATTACATACAAGGACAGACACAGATAACATACACTAAATGTACCTTGTTAATGTATTGCATGTAAAGTTCTCTTAAAAACACGAGTTACACACAAAATTCTAATCAAGTCCGTAACTATAATGTGATTACAATCATTTAAACTGTAATGCTTTGTTACAGGAACAGTATTGCATTACTGTAACACATTATATTGTTATATTGATACAGAATGCAAATCGAATGTAATGTGAAGTCACAATTACGTAAATATAAACAAATACCACAATTTATTTAGAAAATATTGTGATTTTTATTTTCCTTAAAACCAGCCAGCACTAATTTTAATGCTCGAATAGCATCAAAATAGTCTTTGATGTGTTTATCTAATAGGGATGCTGCCTGTGGTGTCCACTCGTCCACTCTCCAACTTCGAGTTGACTCTGAGTCCAGACGGGACACGGGTGGGTAACCATCGCTGCTCCAACCTGCTGGACTACAATGAGGTGCGCACACGCCACGGTTTCATCACCGAATCCACCCGCAACCCAGAGGCCATCGGAGGCACAGCGCCTTACCAGTACAGCGCCACCCTGAGGGGCCAGAGCACACTACGCTTCTACAGGAACCTCCACCTGGAGGCGTGCCTGTGGGAGTTTGTCAGCTATTACGACATGTCCGAACTGCTCAGCGACTGCGGGGGGACCATCGGCACAGATGGGCAGGTGGGAGACTGATTTGCGTCCTTGGCTTGACCACCTGTGGTGATCACTATATATGTAAATTAATGTGGGCAATTAAAGTTTCAGAGTCATTTTAATGATGTTTAAAATGAATAGGTTCAGGTCTACAATCTGATTGGCTAAGACACATTCAAAGCTGTTGTAAAATAGTTAATATAGATGCATACGCAAAAGTTTTGTACAGTTCACACACACACACACACACACACACATTTTCTAAGCCATTTATCCTTCTGGGTCGCAGGGGGGTGCTGGAGTTTATTCCAGTGTTCATTGGGCGGAAGGCAGGAAACACCCCGGACAAGTTGCCAGTCCATCACAGGGCAGACACAATAACATACACATTCACAGACGCAATTAGAGTTAAGGCCAATTTAGTACCTCCAATTGGCCTGACTGCATGTCTTTGGACTATGTGAGGAAGCCCACACAGACACGGGGAGAACATGCAAACTCCACACAGAAAGCACCCTGGCCCATATACATATTCAGATACATGTATAAAATAATTCTAATAGGAGGCTAATATTCTGTACGTTTCAAAAAAAATTATAGGAAACCATAACTTACAATAAAAGCAATTAACTTTTAATAAAAATGAACTGTGCAAAATGCCTTTCTTTTTTATGCGGTGACCAATTGTGATCAAACAGCTATACATAGTAATACTGTTACAAGAAAATTACTGTAAATAGATTTAAACATTTACTGTTTTTAACCAATCATAGTTTCTTATTGATCCCAAAATACTTTAAATTGTGAATAAACCATCAGTTTCCATTTTAGTCTCCAGCTTATAACAGTTGATTCTAAACTTTTCCAACATTTTTTATTAATTCTTTACAAACATATTCTGTTCAAAATAACATTATGTCTACATTGCTTGTTTTAATATTAAGACAATTATTTTTTAGCTGATTTTTATTCATTACACATTAGATTGAATATTGAACATTGTATATTTTATCAATTTTGTATTTTGCCACTCTGCGGCAGGCCTAAACCCCCTGCACATGTGGTAAAATCACTGTAATGCATGAGCTCTTTCATGGGTCTTTGCTTTATTCTACTTTAGTTTTACTTCAATTTTTTTTATTTTTTGTTCTTTATTTCTATCTTTGTTTTTTTCTTTTCCTAGTTTAACATGTGTTCCACTCTACCCTTGTTTTCTATTCTAATATGTATTTTCCATAGCAATGGACATCAACGTTTTAAATAAATGCTGGAGGCAGTTTAAAAATGCACCTCACGTCAAGAACTGAAATAAAGTAGAATAAACAGCTTTAAATTTTTACTATCTGTGTCCTTGTTAAACAAGAGTTCACTCTTGTTCCTGATGTATTCAGAGGACACGTCAGCGCCCATGTATAACTTTTTTAGAAGACTAAAAGAGAGTCGCCCCCCACAAGAGGTCAGCTGTAAATTTGAGTCATAAAATCCAGCCTCTTTTCTAATGGTTTTCAACTGCTGTCACTTTAAGCCACTTATTGTTCCACTTTCTTTCTTTTCCTCCCCACTCATGATGCTCCAATTCATTTTAAACTCGTACAAAACCCACCATTTATTGCGCAAGACTCACTCACCTAGTGCAGCCAATAAATGGAAAACACTTCATGTGAAAATATACCGGTCTGTTGCAGCTCTGGTTAACTACTGAAGTTTACTGGTGGTGACTCCGGGGTCTTTGCGGACACCCGTATCGTCCCGTGAGGCCCACTGTTTGCTTTTCTTCGGCAGCGAGTGTAAATTCACGCTGGGATCATAAAGGGACTTCAGTGTCGTTTTTCTTTTTTTTGCCCTCTTTTGTTTTATAGCTGTATGGTGGACAGGGGCACCCCTTAAACCGCTCTCCACGCTGGCTACACACATGCCTCTGCTGGCCGCTCATTCGTGCTCACCATGGAAACTACTTCTAACAGTTCTCTCTGCAGTTAATTAAAGCAGACAAGTGTCATAAAGGGATAGTTGGGTGCAAAGGCCAGGTTCTCTGACTGCAGACCTCATGCCATAGCTGCCCCTGCTAGTGTGCTTCACTGAAGTCTTTCCAATTTAAAATCACACTCTGCACTAGACCTTCAGACACCTTGACTCTTTCGGCGGATTGAAAGTAACTGGAGAGTTAGCAAACGAGAACGGAGCTTATAATCGTCACAGTCAAGCAAAAGGTCATGTCGGAGATGGTTTCATATCCATAGTTTTGGAAGATGATTAAGAATCTGTATTGCACTGAGCCTATTGTTGAGCCCAACATCAGCTGCATACAAAAATGAGCGACGCCAGTCTGAGCTATTGGCTAATATTTAGCAATCTGTCCGAAACAAATGCAGCAGTTACCAGTTACACTTAGTGTACTTTAATGGTAACTGAAAGTGTGTTTAATATGATGTGGTGTAGATGTTTGGACCCCAACAGAATGAATAGTTAGACAAATAGGCCATCTAGTGGTAGAGAATGTGGCTCGTGCATAGACCTCAGAAAGTTATGCCAAACGATATTGACCATTAAAAATTCCAGTTATAAATTACAAAATCCTAAACAGCATAGATTGTTATTTATTTTAGACTTCCAGACCTTAGACTAGTGGTGTCAAACTCAACCACTAAAAGGCCCACGTTAAAAAATCTCAACAAATCCGTGGGCCAGCTGTGTTTTTATTTTATTTTTATTTAACATTTTGCCATGACCCCAACTGGCCATTGTTTATTCAAAATATGCCAAGACTACAATGACAAAAAACAGGCACTGAATACTTGAGTGATTCAAAACGATTTAAATAAAAACACTGTTTTATATAAAACAATAAACAACATTAGCTGCAGAAAACTGTTAAAACTCTTGAACTGTCCCTAATGTACAGTAGGTTTTCTAAAACTGTCCGTTCGCTTGAACCAGACACCTGATAACTTCTTTTTTTTGGTGCTGTCCCATAGATCGTTGTTGGCGAAGGGGTCGGAGCACACATTACATTACAGTGCATGCTGGGAATTGTAGTGCAGCTTGTGGTGAAATGGGCTAATATTAATAGAACATGAAAATAATTTTGCAGGCCAAGTAGGATTGTGCCATGGGCCTGACTTGGCCCACAGGTCTTGTGTTTGACACCTGGGCCATAGATTAATCTTTCATTTTAGATAAGCAAATATCCATTGATTTTTTTGTGATTTAAAACCAAGGGAACCATTAGTGACCATGGGTATTACAGAGATGCTATATAAATTAAGAGTATTAGTTATTGTTATAATACTAGTAATAGTAACAGAATTTCATTTGTAAGTTACCAAAAAATTCTGTACAACAAAATATTATAACAGACATGAACGACATAATAAGAATATCAAACAATTTAAATAAATGAAGAAAAAAGCAGCCAAAGTAGATTTTACAAATAAAAAATAAAACAAAATATTCAGGGGAACAGAACATAAAAGGTGCCCAGTTTATAGTGAGTAAATAAGGTAATGAAATCAACCATTAATAAAATGAGATTTAAAAATGGAGAAGGACATGCCGGCATGCTGTTCCTAGGAAGACTGTATTAGTACCATTTGGAAACTCTTCATGTTTGAAAGGTGAAAGTGTGAAAGCGAGCTGAGAGCAGTTTTGGGGATGTATTTAGAGAAAACTTTTGAGTGACTGTTGATTTCTAGTGTTTGGTAGCTACATTAGCCTCAATTACTTTAATGTTCCCTGATCAGATTTGCATTTGAAAGTACAGCACAGAACCTTATAAGTGCTTGTCCTCATTTTCTGCCATTTCCACAATGTTCCTCAAAACCTAGCAGGGGCTGCCAAGATGGCTCTTTATTTCTATTTGCCAGTTTTCTGTTTCTGGTCGTGCTATAATTCCAGCATTACTAAGCAGAGAATTTCTAGCAAGAAAAATTTTAATTGGCTCTGGTACGAATTACATGATTCAAACATGAGCTTAGGCTTGACGTGTGCTGTTGTTGGTGCCACAACACCTCAAAAAATTGAATTTGTTCTTGGAAAGTGTATGCATTGAACACCAGCAGATTTGTAAACATTGTTGCCCTTTATAAACATTGTGCCCTGCACCTTCTTTGTTCCATTCCATGCCAAAGAAGAAAGGAAAGGAAACTGGCACTGCTTGCAGCTTTAAAATTGACATGTCCTCCAAAGAGGATATATGTTTGCTCATAAAATAGGATAGATAGCAAAGAGGATTTATCTGACCTTCCACAAGACAGCTGTTGTGTGGCTGCAGGTCCGCCTCAGCCCTGTAATGCACGATCAGCCAACAGGCTCCACTGCTCCCCTTTCCCTCAGCTTTACCCACCTTGTTTACCTTGGCTGATGCTCTGACTTGGCTCCACCTCAGCTTTCAAAAAATGAAGTTGCTGTGTTTGCAATACAGAACCTTCCCTGTTTTGTTGTTATACCGGTAATTATATGCCTTTGTGCTTTTATAGTTCCATAGCTGTTCTCTGTCTACACCTAAAATCGTTCACTAGGTTATATCAGCATGGCCAACCTAGTATTTTTGGCCTTTTTCATGTAAAAACACATTCATTATTTCAGTCATTCACTATTTCGGTCATTGGGAACACAAAAACTGGCTTTGGCCATGAATCATGGAAAAGTTCAGGAAATGGTGGATACAGTAGTGTAGAGTTCTGGATGCGCTGAGCATAGATCAGCCTACATAGAGATTGGAGGCGACTATATGAATATATGAAGAGTTAAAAAAAACGATAAATGCCAAATAAAATGAGCTGACTGTCGTGAGTTATTCTGAACACACAGTGCATTCTGAACCCTAAATACGTTTAGTCACAAAAGCCGTTATTGTCCATTGTCAGGGCCTTGCAAGTTTACGTTTTACAGCAGAAACAGTCAAATACCAGCGCTGTTCTTGAGCAAAACCCAATAAATCCATTCAACCAATCAGCATGCTGTATGCAGGTCAGGTGACACAACACTGCTACGAACTGTTTTATGCAGAACCTCACAAGTCGCCCCCCACCTACAAAGTGCAGCACGTAGGTCTTAAAATAATGGCTACTGCATCTAAACAGAGCACAGTGTGTCTATCTAAGAACCACTCTGGCTTCAGCCTTGTGTACACAATTCATACTGGACATAAAGGACAATATTTGGGTGAAAAACGTTCATAACTCAGATGCACTATATAAAAAGCAGTGAGCCATTTGAGATTCTGCCTGAGGATTTTCTGAGGTTTGATATAATAGATGTTCAACATTGCCCATTAATGGGCTGTTTATGTTGCAGTTTCAGCTCTTTACCTGCTTGTTTTATGTTAAAGAAAGTTAAATTATTGTATTTAAAAGAAACTTCTATACCATTAAATGGCTTTGTTTAACTCTAAAACATGAAATGACCATTGGAGTTATCTACAAAATTTAAACAAAAAAAATCAATAAAGTTTAACTTTTAATAGTTATGCTTTTTTAATAGAGTTATGCTTTTGGTCATCAATTATTATGACCACATCATAGATAGTTATCTTAACTTAATCTGCTTAATATTGTTAATTTGAACTGTTTATTTTTGTGAATATGTTTGGTCAGTTTTCTGTGGCTTAAGTCTGCTGGCAAAAATGTAAAATGCTTCTTGTAGACACTCCGAGCTGCCTTTTTTAATGAGTAAAGAGGCTATGGAAGAGTCACTCTTTGGTTTGGTAGACTTTAGATCAGGGGTGCCCAAACTTTTTGCCTTGATGAGGGCCAGTGTGTGCTCACATCCTCTACAGAGAACACACTTCTGCACATTTTAATATGCAGTTTTTGTTTATTTGCTGATTTTACACACACACTCACACTCACACACACACACTCACACACACACACACACACAAACACACACACAAATTTTCTAAGTCGCTTATCCTCATGGGTCACGGGGGTGCTGGAGCCTATCCCAGCGCTCATTGGGCAGAGGGCAGGAGACACCCTGGACAGGTTGCCAGTCCATTAGAGGGTTTTGCTGATTTTAACATATTCAAAAAAAAGCTATAAAAGTTATGGCACATTTTATACTGTATGTTTTTTTTCAATATTTTAAACCAACAGAACAGACATTGTGCACTGGAACTGTCTTCTCTGTAGAAGATGTGTTCACTTATTTTTACTACTGTTTTGACCAGCATCATTCAAACCTTTGTATATTCTCTTGTTGGGTCAGAGGGTGGGGTTCGGGGAACTTTTCAGTGGGCCAAATCAAACATTTGGTCCATGAGCCAGGCTCTGCTTCAGAGTATAAATAATTCATCATCATGCAACATAACACCTCTATGATGTGAGGTGTATTAATAATGCACGTTGTCTCTCTTTGTGCAGGTGCTGAATCTGGTGCAGTCCTATGTGACCCTGCGTGTGCCGCTGCATGTGTCCTATGTGTTCCACTCCCCGGTGGGTGCGGGCGGCTGGCAGCACTTCGACCTGCAGTCTGAGCTTAGGCTCACTTTTGTGTACGACACTGCCATCTTGTGGAGGGACGGCATCGGCAGCCCACCAGAGGCAGAGTTACAAGGCAAGATTCAGATTCAGATAAGGCTCTAAACATGTATAGATAACTCTATATCAGTAATCTCTATCAATCATCTACAGTAAACAGTTTAGAGGAATCTGTAAGCACTGATAAAGCACAGTATGTGTAGTTTTGATCACTGTACCTCATGCGCTTAAATCTTATTTCAACTCTAAGAACCACATCAATTCCTCACTTTCATTACTACATTACTTGCATATTAGTTTCATAGCTAGAACAGTAGTTAGAAATAGTAAGTCTTAAGATTAATTAGAAGTGGAAGGTTCATTAATAAAAAGTTATCAAAGCAGTTGCAGAACACTGTTGATTGTTTTTGACAGCTTTATTGGGTTTGTATAGTAATTCCAGCTATGCTATGGTATTCCAGCATGTTGTTATGGTGTTGCTTGGTGGTTGTTATTTGGTTGATAAGGTGTTGCTAGGCTGTTGTTAAGGTATCTGAGGTGGTTGATAAAGTGTGCTAGGCTGCTGCTGTGGTATTACAAGTAGTTGCTTAGTGGTGTTAGGTTGTGGCCATGCTATCCCAGGTTGTTGAAAAGGTGTTGCTGTGCCATTACTATACTATCCCAGGTGGTTGCTAAGGTCTTGCTAGCATACTTGTATGATGGTGACCTAAGAGTAACATCCAAAAACACTTGATTCTATTTGGTTGTATACCTCTGTGTTGGAATAAGAGACACCATAGCAACAGCCTAGCAACACCTTAGCAACCACCTAACAATCACCAAGCTGGAATACCATAGCAACCTAATAAAACTACTTCGAATTACTATACAAACCCAATTAAGGTACCAGAAATAGTCAGCAGTGTTCTGTAACTGCTTTAACTTTTGAAGTGAAATTTTTAATTGAATGAATAAATGAATAATGAGCCTCTATGTTAAGGAGGTAATTGGTTTTTGTTAGGAAATGTATTGTTCTCAGTGCTCCATCAATCTGACTGCTCAGTCTGATAACATATGTTTGTTTTTGGAGTATACTCTTTAGCTTTACATTATGATATCATGAAACTAGTGGCAGTGCCTTTCTTTAAATATAATTCCTAGTGCAGAAAGAGTGCTATTAAAAAACATATGTTGTTGTGGTTGTTGTTTTTCAGGAGCTCTGTATCCCACAAGCATGCGCATCAATGAACAAGGCCGTTTGGTGGTTAATTTCCGCACAGAAGCCCGCTTCAGGGGACTGTTTGTGACTTCCCACCCTGGTGAGTGTAGCATCTGTGGGATCTCATTATATGTTGTAATATTCATATTCAAAAATCAGGGCCATGTTGGACTGATTTGCACCCGAAACCCTACTGCTACTGTGTTACTGCAGGAATATTTCATTGCTTGTATCTCCAAAATGGTAACTTAACAGAAGAGCAATTGGATGTTAATGTAAAAAGATATTTTTTTCCAAGCAATTTTGGAGAATTTCTGTCAGTAGATTTATTATGAAATGTTCACACAGTGCAAAGGGCAGCTGGTGTTTTTAGAGTATGTGAAAAAATATAAAACAAAAACAAAAATGGAGTTACATTAATATGCACAAGTTTGAACACCCCCAGTCAAATGACATGTTTTGTGAAAATAAGTCAACACATCCTCTACTGAGAACACACTTAAATATATTTGTGCAGATTTTTGTGCACAGTTTCTATTTATTTGCTGAGGAAACATAAAGAATAAAATGAGCCATGACTTTTGCACAAGCATTTCATGTTTTATTATTCCCAGTATGTTACATTGAAGCAAATAAAAAGTTTTTGTATGTTAATATACAGAAGTGTGTTCTCTGTAGAAGATGTTTTAACTTTGTTTCAACAATCAACAAAACATGCAGTTCGACCAGGGGAGCTCAAAACTTTTGAATGACCGTGCAAGGTTTTGTTTTGACAGCAACAGTTTTGCTTTGAGCAGCTGTGTTGCTTGTGTTGTTGACTGTCTTAAAGGAGTACTTAGCATTAAAGGAATACTTTAGCATTTTTTAACCTCAGTTCTGCAAAGAACAGAAAACCGATTGACTTCAAATGCATTTAGAAGGCACTGGAAAGATGCTCAGTTGTGTGAAACAATTAAAATCAGCCACTGTATAACAAATGTGAAACAGCCATTTCACTGTATCTGTGCAGATGTTAGGATGAGACAGACATTAGAGAATGTGTTACCAAACTATTATAAAGTTATATCCAACTTTTAGAATGTAAAAGTAAGAAATGTTAAAAAAGCAGTGAAAAAGAACCTTCATGCTTATTTGCTACTGTATGGCAGAAGGATAACAGTGTTAGCCAGTTATTTACTACTACATTGATAACATTACAACAAATTCTTCACTCTAGTCCCATTTCCGAAAGATGGTAACTTAACAGAACATTTCTGAAAGAATGGGACAATGGGGCGGCTATAACTTTGTTTCAAGTCAACATTATGTTCTTTTCTAAGTACAGAGAAACATGTTGAAATCATGACAATCGACTGTGTGCTACAGATGCAGTGGACAGAGATTAGGTTAAAAACTCTGGAGAGCTCTTTTAAGCTGGTCATTGTTCCTACTCTTTGTTCAACCAGTGCTAACAGACCTGACTACATTTGCCTCTCCAGCCTCACCTTTGACCTCCATGATAATGTGTGCGGACCACCCTGGGCTGACCTTTAACCTCAGCCTGGTGAGGAGTGAGCCCACCTACAACCAGCCCATGCAGCAGTGGACCTTCGTCTCTGACTTCGCTGTCAGTAATTACCCTCGTCTTCCTCATTCACATGCTGATTCCATAATGTATTCAACTGTAATCAATTGTTAACAAAGCTGTTATGAATGAACGAGCCAACTGGATGAATCACTCCAGCTCAACTGTATCAGCATCAGTTAATTATGTTAAACTTATTTCATGTAACGTGGAAACGCGATGTGAAACAATTGCAAGGGTATTTATAAGTGCTTATGAGCTGTTATATCTGCCAAAAATCTGACAAAGTATTGCCTTAGTAGGATGTTCAAACGTTTGTACATGCCACAGTTTTCAAACTTAATCAAATATAAAGTAACCACACTTCAATATTTGTAGAAATATGTTGTTTTTCAAAAATAGTTTGCTGCAGTGGTTGTGTTTTCTTCGTTTTCATTTCATAAATCAGTAAAATATGTATGTTTTGCATACAACTGTGTATCTCAGTGCTGTCCTCTCTGATGTCTAGTTGTTAAAATGTTCTCCTGCAGGTGAGGGATTACTCAGGAACCTATACAGTGAAGCTTGTGCCCTGCACTGCACCTCCAAGTGTGGAGTACACTCTGCCCCCAGTGTGTAATCCCAGAGAGCCTGTCACCTTTGACCTGGACATACGCTTCCAACAGGTCATTACACATACATAAAAATGCACATAACTGTCATTAAAATGCTTTGATTTTATACAGGGGGAGCAGGACACAATTATTTAATTTTTGCTAAATAATTTGAAAAAATATTTGAGCAAATTAGTAATTGTTTTATACAAACAACCCACACATCTCTGCTACAAAGAGAAACAAACTTTTCCAGTGCCTACTGTTTATGAACAACTCAGCCGAAAGCAGTGCAAGCACAAATGTTACTACTCACCCCATGGGTCGCTGTTCCTCACATCTCCAAGTCCTTGTCCTTTATGAGCAAGGGTGGGTCGAGGCTCACCACTTTGCCAAAAATGCATCAATACATTTTCCAACAGTTCCTTAACAAGAGATTGCAAGAAAGGAATCTACAAAAATGCATGTAAAAAGCAAAGCCGAAAAACACAGCTGAATTCCCAATGACCTTCAGTTCCTTAGACGGCACTGTGTTAAAAACTGTTGTGGTATGAGTGTGTATTAGTGGGTAACTTGTAGATCTGTGAAGGCACAATTAATACTGAGAGACATATATACATTTTGGAGCGACGTGTATTGCCTTCTAGACACCGTCTTTTTCAGGGGCGTCCATACATGGCTACAAAATCAGAGAGTGCTAGACTGTCCTGCTTGTCTCCCATTGAAAACGTATGGCGCATTATGCAGTGCAAAAGACAACAGTGAAGGCCCTATACAGTTGCACAGCAACAGTTACAAAGACTTGTATTGAAGAATGGCAGAAAAATCCACTGTATCACTTTGTGTCTTCAGACCCCAAACATTTTTAATTGCTGTTAAAAGGAAAGGTAATGCAATGCAGTGGTAAACCTGCCCCTGCCCCAACTTTTTTGGAAAGTATTGCAGGCATTATATTTGGAATAAGCATATATTTATCAAAAACAACAATAAAGTTCATACCGTACAACTTAAAATGCCTTGTTTTTGTACAGTTTTCAGTCTAGTACAGGTCAAACAGAATTTAATATCACTGCTTTCTGTTTTTATGGTATTTCACATAGTGTCCCAACTTTGGAAATCGGGTTTGCACACAAAAAAGTAAAAATCAACAAAAATGGAGATACAAGGTTTTTATGCAATAGCAATGTGAAAGTAAAATTAAATCCCAGGCAAGGAGTTTCCACAACTGACATAGGCATGAAGAAGCTTTCAAACAATCATTCCGCAAGATACATTTGACCGTCTCTCAGAGTTTATTAGTCCTGGTGCAGCCAGAATGTTTCAGAAATGCAAGACCACATCTTTGAGATGGTCCCGCATCATTTTCTACTAGCAGCCAAATGATACCTGTGTGTCTCTCTGTAGGTGAGCGACCCAGTAGCAGCAGAGTTCAGCCTGAACACACAGATGCTGCTGTTATCTAAGAGAACCCTGTGGCTGTCAGATGGCTCCATGGGCTTTGGACAAGAGAGCGACACTGCATTCTCTGAGGGTAAAGCACAGTACATTTCACTTTAATCTCATTATAATCTGTATATGCTACCATTATGCCGTGAATTGCAGGTACAGTTTTCTTGGTTACATGCTTACAGTAAATTGAAGAAAAAATGAACATCAGTGAAAAAATGTTCTTGTTCCATTCAGGTGATGTTATCTATGGCCGTGTCATGGTGGATCCTGTACAGAACCTTGGAGACTCATTCATCTGTAACATTGAGAAGGTGTTCCTCTGTACGGGAACAGACGGTTATGTGCCGAAGTACAACCCTGACGACTTTGAATACGGCTGCCTGGCAGATGCTCCATCGCTGCTGTACAGGTTCAAGATCATTGTAAGTATTTCTGTACTATTTTTATCATTACCTGTTCAAATACTGTCTTCACAACATAGACTTATGTTCTCATCTTAATCATGCTAAAACTGTCTGGAGCCAAACTAATCTACTTTTGTCTACAGGACAAAGCTCAGCCAGAGACTCAGGCCAGGACGTTTGGTAGCATTAGCTTCAATGCTCTGCTAGCTGTTGACGACCCTCAGGCTTTGGCCTTAGTGAGGCAGCCGGGATCAGATGGCTTTAGGCTGGATTCAGCAGCCCTGTTTCAGGTAAATAGATGTATAATTTAATATTGCATATCTGCACCTTCAGAATAGAGGGTACTGTCTGGGTAATTTTTTTAGTCCCCCCAAGAGACAAAAACAATGTAAATGTATCCTCAAATGTACAATGTCAAGTCAAGTGGTCTTTATTGTCATTACATGAATTAGAGACAATGTGAGCCATGATTCCACCTTGAGAAGTGCTCTTTGTTAAACACCAGGGCATAAAGGCACATACAAAGCACTGAACTTGCAGGGGAGGTCACCACTAGCCACAGGCTTCACCCTGACAGTGACCAATCCCCAACACAAAACACCTACACCCGCTGACACAGAAGAACACAATAAACACATACACATGCCTTTAAACTAGCAAATAGAGACATTATCAACTAAAATAAGTCCCTTTTTAGTAGGGCGCATTCCTACCATGAGGCTTGCATGGCCACGCCTCCTGAGCCTCTCGGAGCCAGCATTGGCCTGTAGAGGGTCACTCCAATATACATATAGTTATACACTGACAGGCCACTTCAATAAATACACCTACTTGTATCTATAAGTATTGTCTATTTCATTAGCTTCACTTACCATGTAGTAGCACTTTGTAGTTCTACAATTACAGACTGTAGTCTGTCAGTTTCTCTGCATACTTTGTTAGCTTTCACCCTGTTTTTCAGTGGGAAAGATCCTCACGGGACCACCGCCCAGCAGGTATTATTTGGGTGGTGGATCATTCTCACTGTGGTGGTGGTGTAAACAGAACATAAAGGTTGGGGTCCTATAGCAGAATTCAAAGAACTAAAGAATTTAAAGTGCAGGAGTGTGGTGATGGATGTTGGGGGGCATCAGTGCATTCAGTAGTCTGACTGCCTCGGGGAAGAAACTGTTGCAGAGCCTGGATGCTCTAGTACTTTCTGCCAGATGGCAGGAGAGAGAAAAGTCCATAAGAGTGGTGGGAGGGGTTGTCCACAATGCTGGTGACCTTGCAGATGCTGTGCTTGTAGTAGGAGCTGTCGATGGTGGGTGAAGACACCCCAGTGATCTTCTCGTCTGTCCTCACAATCTGCTGCACGGTCCTGCTGTCTGAGATGGTGCACTTCCCATACCAGCCAGTGAGACAGCTGGTCAGAACGCTCTCTGTTGCCCCCTGTTGAATGTAGTGACGATGGAAGTGGGGAGATTGGCTCTTTTCGTCCTTTTGAGGAAGTGAAGTCGCTGCTGGACTTTCATGGCTAGGCAGTGTTGAGGGTCCAGGACCAACGTGGTCTTTAAGGTCCAGATGTGTACCTTAAATGAGTTCATAAGTTCATAATATTTACTTTATCAAGGGGAAAAGTGCATTTTGTATATCATGAGATTGTATATCAAGAGATTTTATTCCAGGTGATTTTAGAGTATTTCTATTGGTCCAATTATCTTGAAATTTTCATACAACGTAAATGACAGCTGTTGTGTTGAAATGATGTAGAAAAATAAAAATTGACAAAAATGGATTTGCGATAATATATATATATATATATATATATATATATATATATATATATATATTTATATAAGATAAATATTATGTCACTGGTGTTAATAGAGCACAAAGGGACTGGAACTTAAAATATACATTGATCAGCTCTGAATCAAAATATCTGTGTGCTTATATCTGCTACTCTTTCTAGGTATCTGTGGGCAGGGAGTGGTACATCCACACCATCTACACCGTCCGCTCCAGAGACAATGCTAACCGAGGCATCGGAAAGAGGAGTGTGGAATATCATCAAGTAACTCAACACCGCCGCACACTTCAGACCAGCTCCACTCGATCCAGAAGGTCCGCCGATGTACCGGCTCTGGCTGAGGAGATCGGTTTGGAGAACGATCGAGGCACCAACATCCTGCATATCGCTCTGGATCGCAGCAGCCAGCGGCAGCCTCGGCCCAAAATCAACGTCCAAAACGTGGTCCATCCTACAGTGTCGACACCCAGAGAGACCGCTGAGGATGACCTCTTAATGATCATAGGAATTGTGGTGGGTCTTCTCTTGACTGTCCTCCTTCTCGTGCTTGTGGTTCTGTTGGTACGGTCCAGACGGGAGAAGAAGGGCAGTGAGCCACCAAAAGGCTCCAGCAGTACAGAGCCCATGATGACTCATGTCGTGAATAGTAATGACAGCTCTGAGGTGTGACCGTTTCTTTGCCAAGAGTTTCACCAAGTGGACACTCATTAGAACCGCTTTTGTTTTGCAAGTGCCTCTTATTTATGTACTAAGACTTTGACGAGTAAAAGATTTGAAGTGACTTAGAAGAGTTAAAACCAGAGCAGAACATCGACCCAACGTTCTCCAACAAACACCGACAAATCCAAATGCTGGGTTGGTGTGCAAATACCTGAGTGTGATGGTAGGGAAACTCTAGAATGTTTCACTCTATTCACACTGTTCTTGAATGTTCTCTGCCATTCACACTGTTCTAGAATGTTCTCCCCATTTTGACTGCTCTACCATGTTCTCCCTTTTTCACATGGTTCTAAAATGTTCTTGACCTAGTCGCACCATTCTAGATTGTTCTCCACCCACTCATGTAGTTTTAGAATGTCGTCCCCATTCACAATGTTCTAGAGTGTTCTCTCTGTTCACACAGGTCTAGTATGTTCTCCACCCATTCACACTGTTCTATATTGTTCTCAAGTTCTTAACTCACTCACACTGTACTAGAAAGTTCTCTACCCATTTACACTCCTCTAAAAAGTTCTCAAGTCATTTACACTGTTCTAGAATGTTGTTCTCTTTCACGTTGCTCTAAAATATTTTCTCCATACACACTGTTCTATAATATTCTCCAGCAATTCTCGTTGTTCTAGGATGTTCTCCCCATTTAGACTGCTCCAGCATTTTCCCCCTCATTCACACAGTTCTAAAATGTTCTTGCCCCATTTACTACATTTTAGAATGTTCTCCACCCACTCATGCAGTTTTAGTGTTGCCTCCATTCACAATGTTCTAGAGTATTCTCTCTGTTCACACGTCTTGTATGATTTCCACTCATTCACGCTGTTCTATATTGTTCTCTTCGAGTTCTCCTCTCATTCATACTGTACTAAAAGGTTCTCTGCCCATTTCCATTCCTCTAGAAAGTTCTCCAGCCATTTACACTCTTCTAGAATGTTCTTCTCTTTCACTCTGCTCTAAAATATTTTCTCCATTCACACTGTTCTAAAATGCTCTCCAAAAATTCACACTGTTCTAGAATGTTCTCACCATTTAGGCTGCTCTAGCATGTTCGCCCTCATTCACGTGGTTCTAAAATGTTCTCGGCCTATTCGCACCATATTAAAATGTTCTTCATACACTCATGCAGTTTTAGAGTGTTGTCCCCATTCACAATGTTCTAGAGTGTTCTCTCTGTTCTAGAATGTTCTTCACTTTCACATTGCTCTAAAATATTTTCTCCATTCACACTGTTCTGGAATGTTCTCCCAAATTTACACTGTTCTGGAATGTTCTCCCAAATTCACACTATTCTGGAATGTGTTCTTCATTCACTCTGCTCTAAAATGTTCTCCACCCATTCACTCTATTCTTGAATGTTCTCCCCTTTCATATTGTTCTAGAATGTTCTCTCTTCCACATTTGGCTTGTTCATTTGGTTTGTCAGCTCTTATTCTTCAATAGTATAAAGCCAGTTGGTGCTTGTCGGTGAATGTTGGGTCAGTATGCCATGACCTTAATTCAGATTAATGCCTGGTCTCTCAAAAGCTCTGCAGTCTCATACATTAATGTTTTTGTGCTCTCTGTTTGGAAGACCAGGCCTGAATCCTTAAGGTATTTGGCCAAAACACAGAACTCGCAAGCACTTCTGCTGTTTTACGATTTTGGGAAAGACTTGAAGTCATTAGCCAGTTTTTATCCAAATGAGGCACTTATTGTGTATTACTGCTTCAACCATGGTGTAAGTCATCAACAACACAGGAACTTTATCTGAATCCAAAGGTGCTAGAAGCTCCCTATCCAGGTGGGTAGGCAGTTAACTGTATGAAATGTGTTTGTTTTTATGAACATGTTTAAAGTCTAAAGTCAAGGATAACTTAGTGTGGTTTAACTTAGACATTGTTTACCAATCGCATTTTGTGGGGTTCAAATCATATCAGACCATGAATGACCATATAAGTGACTTTATCATAGGGCTGGCCCGAATAATTCAAATACTTAAGTATTTGTTTTCGTTACGTTGGTATTTGTTTCAGTTTTTAGTATCCTGAAGCTTTTTAAGCCACAAACATTGTAGCCTAAAACTGCAATAATTTCAGCAGTAAATGTCTTCAGATAGAACAGTTATTGTTAATAAATGGAAAGTGGTAAATGTGTAAATCCAAGTCACCTCACTTTAGCGCAACAAACGACACCGCTTTCCATGTAGCCACTGAAGCTAAAAGACCAGGAATGCCTCAGAAATCATATTTGTGGGAGCACAAATTATTGAAAGAAACATGCTCAGTACAAAATAAGACGCTGGAGTACCATAGACACGTGACAAGCCTGGTGAATCATTTCACATATGTAAGTATTCATTTGAAGATTTCAGTTCATTTGTGCTATCAGGTACTCACTAGGACGATACATTCTGACTGATTTTGATATTTGTGCATCTGTAAGAGTTAATATACGGATATCTATTAACCACAGGGAGGAAAAAACAACAACTGAAAAGGAAAAAATATACGTCGGCCAAAATGAGCGAGTGGTAGACGTGGTAGCGCACTACATTTTTTATTATTCAAAACACACTATGTGGCCAAAAGTATGTGGACACCCCTCCTAATGATGAAGTTCAGGTGTTTCAGCCATACCCATTGCTAACAGGTGTCTCCGTAGACAAACACTGGCAGTAGAATGGGTCGTACTGAAGAGCTCAGTGACTTTAAACATGGCTCTATCATAGGATGCCACCTTTGCTACAATTCAGTTTGGGAAATTTCTGACCTGCTAGATCTGCTCCAGACAGCTGTAAGCGCTGACTGTAAGTGTGTAATGGGGGGAATCTAGGAGCAACCACAGCTCAGTCATGAAGCGGTAGACCACACAAACTCACCACGAACGCTGAACCGCCCATACTTTGTGTAAGTATATACTTTGTTACGACATGTAAGTTCATGCTGCTCATATTTGTGGACAAAAGGCTCAAATTTTACAGTCCTGTTAAAAAACAAAATTGCCGTTTCCCTGAATAATTAGCCTGTATACTTCCCCATCTTCCTGTTATGAAACGTAACGATTACCTGAACAGTGATTTCAGTATTTGAATACTTGAGTTGCTCGTTCAGAAACACCAGTGAGCATTCACAGCCTGTACAGCGCTCTTTGGCCAGCCCTAATTCTACATTTTATCATCATTATTTTAATGTTTGTTTTGACATTTTTTTATACATTTTGACTTTTTCCACTATTTTTGCATGATTATGTTTTTGTGTTTCGTTTTTTTAATCAGGCATACATTTGCTGTGTAAAAAATGTATTATAATGTAAATTCATAACAAAATTTGAAAGAAGCGTTCAAACGGATTTTAACTAATAGTGTCTTTTATACGTGTACACACCAGTTTGACCATTTATTTCTTGATCCCTGATTGACTGCAGTGATTGTCGTGGCCTATTACTGAACGCGGATGACGTCACGCTGACAAATCAAATTTTATGAGATTATAGTGCGTTAATGATTAAGACAGCTGGACTGCCTTACAGAGTAGTCCTGTATAATCAATGTGTTAAATCTCCTGATGTTTTCTGTATAGTTTCTGCATATTGACTAACAGAACTCAATGGCCAAATGCTTGTTTCAGTAGTTAACGTGTGAACTTTAAAATGGTTCTCCAAAGCTTTGTGTTGCTGTTCTGTGCCCTATTTAATCATAGGCTTGCTCGGAGTACACTGGTATAAATGTAGAAGCGATTCTCAGAAAGGGACTGCCAATGTAAGACACACTGATGCCTTTTATTGAACTGCATTTATGTTGAATGAATAATTCACAGGCTTATTAGATGTATGAGAATGCACATTTTGACAAATGTTTATTTATTGTTTATCATCTATATAGTCAGCACTGAGTACAGATTGCTCTTACTCAGCCACAGTTAATCACGCACATACTGTAGATTGATGCACTTGTATTATTCACTTTACATTAGTTAAGGCTTACTTAGTTATGACATAACGCTCCTCAGAATGACCTCATCATAAACAGTTGAAATTAATGATTACATGCAGAAATGTCTCTATACGTTGAAAAAAAATTGCTATGCAATTCATAGTCAAATTCTGCCTAAGTAGCGCTGCAGTTGAACTTTTTTTAACGCTTTTTGTTTTGTCACTGTTTCGTTTTCCTGTATACTGTAAACTCTGGTTTTTCTGATCATCCTGAGTGCATTTCACACCTGCGCGAAGCAGTCGCTCCCGTCTATGTACATATGTATTTGCATAGAAATATGGATGTTTTTGGGGAATGGTCAGTGTTAATAAATGACTATGTACTGTACGTATTCATAATCTACACACTGTAAATGTGTTCTTTAAAAAAATAAAGTGTGTCTTTCAGTAACTTGGCTGCGACTAATGGAATACGTCAATTATGCAGATGTAAAGATTACATTTTCAAGTAAATTGATTTTCGCTACTGCTTCTTTCTTGAGTTCTGACTAGGGATGAAATATGAATCGCTTTTATATCGAAATTGCAATTTGAGACAGTGCAGTTTTCAACTCGCAAGAGCTGCAAATTTTCTAATGAAATTATAGCCTACACTCAAAAAAATACAGGACCTCTTTCACCAATATCTTCCTATGTTTGTTATTAAATTTGTTCTTGAGAAAGATCCTAAGAAAAAGTCTACGTCAGATTTATGACGTGTTCTTAAACTGCAGAACTGTTCTCAACTTTGTCCTCTTGAGTGTGTGTAGATTCTGTTCTCACCTAAGAACAAATCCCAAATAAGAAAACACTGGTGAGTCTTCATCAAAGCTGTGAAAGTGGGTTTTAAGAAGAAATTTCTTCTTAAGAACAATTGCTAAATGAGCCCTATAGTTCTTTAAGGTTCTTAAAAAAGATGGTTCTTTAGTAAAGACAGTTTTTCTATATAGAACCATAAACACTCCCTATTGCATGTATAAAAAGTTCTCTGCATGATGAAATGGTTCTTTAGATTAATGGAGAATGTGTTGTATATGGTTCTATATAGCACTAAAAGGTTCTGCAATTGCTACGATGTCAAGCTTGTAGCTATAGAACGTTTTGGTGCTATATAGAAACATATACAACACATTCTCCATTAGTCTAAATAACAATTTCACCATGCAGAGAACCTTTTATATATGCCAATGGGGAGTGCTTATGGTTCTACATAGAACCATTGTCTTTACTAAGGATCCCTTGAAGAACCATCTTTAAGTGTGTACATTAGCAAAAATGTTGTTTTAAGTTTTAAGAGAGGAAATTGAGCCTAATAAGAGCTTGTGAACTGCCTGTAGATGAGTTAGACCAATCAGAGGCAACCAAACCTCCATGTGTTGTGACATCACAACCACAACTCACTGGCAGTTTGGCCGTTCAGGGGTCAATCCTCAAGCCAAAAGAGGTGGATATTCTGGTCTTCTTGGCCAAAAATAAATCAGACATGAAACTCAATTTTTAAAAAAAATGGCAATTTAAATCGCAGTCGCAATAATAGTCAGAAAAATCACAATTAGACATTTTCCCCAAATCGTTCAGCTCTAGGTCTGACAGCCGTGCGTTCATGTCAGATGACAGGAAGTGAGTTTCCAAACATTTGTGCTCTGAAGATGCTGAAGGTGTTACGTAATTTTTTGATATTAATATTAAATTAAAATCAACTAAATTTTTATAAACATCACATTGAATTTTCCCCAACCCTGAACCTAAACACATCCACTGGTCCCACTTTATATTGTCTCTAATAACTGTGTAGTTACATGTGAACAACATATACAACAACAATGTAACTACTAATGATTGTCACTGTTACAGATGGATTATAGAAGTACACCTTATGTAATTACACGTGTATCAACTTCAGTTTTGCCTCAAGTAATTACACAAGTGTATCTCAAAAGTTGTAACAGCCTGTTCTCTCTCATGTTATTACACAAGGGTAGTAACACAAATA